CAAAAATAAAAACATCATCGCTTTCTCAAAATCACATAAAGTCATATTATAACATCGACTGAGATAAAGAATAAAATGAAATATTAAAAACACGATGTATCTCGCTGCATTGCGCGAGTATGCTTCTAGTTAAATCAAATATAAATTACTTCGTTATTATACATAAATTAAATTACAAAAAATTGAAATTAAATAATTACACAAAAATGAGGAATTTCAAATAGTTAATTTAATACTAATATCGATATATTTTTGTTAAATTTTTATGATATCTTTAAACATATATTTTATTAAAAAATAAAAGCATCATCGTTTTCTCAAAATCACTAAATTTATATTATAACATCGACTGAGATAAAAAAATAAAATAAAATATTAAAATCACGATGCACGAGTACGCTTCTAGTATATATATATATATAATACAGTTAACTCCACTAACAATCATTTTTAAAGACTTTTCCAAATGTAAGTTTTTTATCTTCTCTTTCCTACCTTCTTCAAAATAACACAGAATCTGTTGGAAAAAAAATGGACTACAAATCTTCAAAATCTGAGTTTTCAAAAATCTATTAAAGATGTTATTAACCCACTAAGGATCCGTTTACCAATTACTTACCTGGCAAATGCTTACCAGTAAAATTTAACTCTATCATTTACTTACCGGATAAGATTTCAGTCCACCAAAACGATATCAAATGCAACAATTTATCCAGTAAGCGCTTACAGTGGTAAGAGTCGTCGTTCTCACCTACCGAACAAGACTCTTGGTCCTTGTCTCATTTTTACCGGACAAAATTCTTGGTCCTTATCATATTCATCTTGTGAGGTAACGTGACTTGATAAGTACTTGTCTAAGATAAAAGTTTGGGTAAACGGCCCTAAAGTAAAAGATTTTATAAACCTTTTTATCTAAATGACCAACAAAAAATAAGAAAACAAAAAAAAACCGAAGTCGCTGTATGCAATGATCGACAAAGGATCGATCCTTATGTCATTAACCATCTACAACCACTTGTACATCCTGCAATCAAAGTTGTTCTATCATATACCAAAAGAATTCCACCATTTCATTTTGAGTTTTTAGCATCCTTCAAATTCCCTACTCTTCGGTGTTGTTCCCGATCCGTAGAAATCCTCGGGACCTCTTTCGGAGCGCTTTGGATTTCTTGTAATGAAGCAAGCACCTCGGCCATGGTCGGTCTGAACCTATGATCGTTGTGGAGACATTTTGATGCGAGTGCAGCCACGGCCTGTGCACCCTTCTTCGAGTACTGACCACCTAGCCGTGTGTCCATGATTCTTAGAACCCGTTTGCCATCCCCTAGAAATGGCTTCACCCATTCTACCAACGTCTCTTCCACCCCACCGGCTCGCTCATCAGCAATCGCTCGTCTTCCTGATAGCAACTCCAATAACACCACCCCGAAACTGTACACATCGTTCTTTGGAGTTAAGTGCCCTGTATGTTACAAAAACCATACTCGTCAAAATAAAGATCGAATGTAGTTGTATGTTTCAATTGGAATAGTTCTAGCATAAGGTGGTCTTTTTAGAAAGAGAAAGCATTGATCATGTTGGAGCCTCGTATCGCCTAGACACGAACCATTAAACTTGTATGGACATAGTAATATCCACTTATTTTGCAACAAACTAAAATATAAATGTGGACGCTTATTATGTGACGGAAAGACTGTACAGTCTCAATGGGTTAAACGTGTACCTGTCGCCACATATTCTGGTGCAGCGTAGCCGTTGGTCCCAACAACCCTGGTCGAAACGTGTGTGTTATCTCCTACAGGACCGTTCCTAGCTAAACCAAAATCCGAAAGCTTTGCATTTAACTCCTATAAAATTCAACAGCACAAGGTCATTACTCATTAGTAAGATGAACACAAGCCAAAATATCATCTTCCCCTTCCTACATTAAGACAAATCTAGCCAAATTGGGCATACCGTATCTAGCAAAATGTTAGAAGCCTTCAAATCTCGATAGATGATGGAAGGCTCTTCACTGTGCAAGAACGATAAACCCTCTGCTACATCAATGGCGATCCGCATCCTTGTGGCCCATGGCATAGGTTGAACACTTTCTGCAAAAAAAGAACACGAGACATCATACGAAAATCATGATTTTTCATTTCCTAACAATCGCCGGTTTTGAGTGTCGTTCATTTCTAAAAATTTCCAGCATTCTTTATTCTAGATTTTGTGGGTTCGGTCTCTTTTTTCCGTATTGGACCCACAAAATGAAAACGAGAGTACAAACATGTCGAAAGTAATACTCACTTCTAAACAAGTGATTATCCAAGCATCCTTTAGGCATGAACTCATAAACAAGAAGCCGGTTTTCATATTCCTCACAATAGCCAATGAGTTTCACCAGATTCTTATGTCGAAGTCGCCCCATGTAATCAAGCTCAGTCTGCAAATCGATAAAATCAAAACAGAGATCTTCGGGTGAATGGTTGACTTTTTCAAACATTGTAGTTTGTTTCTAATACAAGCGAACCATCGTTCTGCAAAATGAACACAGAGAAACAAAAGAGATCACTTACAAGCCATTCCCTGTGACCTTGGCGGCTTTCAGCCTTGAGTATTTTGACAGCCACCACTAGTCCGGTGCCAGGTTTGACCGGAGCTAAGGTGGTCTCATCAATCCACCCTTTAAAGACTTGACCAAAACCGCCCTCACCCAGAAGACCATCTGGCCGGAAGTTCTTGGTGGCAGCCTTGAGATCGCTCAAGCTAAAGGCTTTCAGGTTAATGGGGACAGGCAAATGATCATCTTTATGTGCTTTGGAAACTTTGTTGAAGCTGACTGTTTTTGTTTGATTCTTGGAAGGTTTTGAATTAGATTTCCGCTTGTTATTAAGCATATCGTCTGCAAGAAATAAACTAGGATCAGGTTCTAGTCGATTCTATTATCCATTTAGCAACACAGACTAAAGCAAATTGCGCTGTTCTTTCGTATTCGGCCTCTGTTGCAAGCTAACAATTGTTGTCATAGAAATCCCAAAAAGTATTACAGTTAGCAATGATCAGAATGTTTTGACAAAATGCGAAACCATCCATGCCAAAAAAAACACAGTATTTGGCATTCTCCATCCATAGATGCTCTCTGTCAGTTTCTTTTAACAAGAATGATGGTCTGTTGGCAACAAAAGACGAAACACAACCGTTGGAAAGGGTGAAAAACCTAACGTAGAATCAGTATAGAAATCCGAACCGGGATCGGGATCGGGATCTCAAGGTAGTAAACTAAGCCACAATCACATATTCATTTCTTGTATAAATAAGATTCACATATGAATAATTGGAAAACATGATAGAACAAAATCTGTATAGGGATATGGACTCTGTAGTCTCTACCTCTAAGAGATAAAAGATACCAAGAATCAGTTCGAATCCAAATTCAAGGAATCGAATCAATTTATTCCCAGTTGAACCTAGAATTCCATTTCTAATTGTTTTCTAAAATGGAGAGAGAAAGGTGGGAATCCATTGGCGATCACTGAAAACCCTAATCATGATCTGCATGTAGTAGAATGAGCATGAAACAGAAGAAGAAGAAGAAGAAGAAGAAGAAAGAACATACCCAAAAATTGAGTAGAAGAAGCATGAGCAACATTGGCTGGCTTCCCCCCACAAAGACCCATTGATGCAGGAAGTAAATTGGGGATGTAGGAAGAAATGCAATGGATTACTAAATGGGGTTGTTTGCTGGTCTTCTTATTGAGTCAAGGGTAAGAATTTGCGGTCATGGTGATGGAAGGTTCGCGCGAAATCAGTTTAGGGTCCCATCCCCTCCATCTCATCACTTTTGGATTTGACTTTCGAGAGTCGAGTTCGCTAGCATTTATAGTTGCCACCAAATTCAGATAATTGAGTTGAAAAAAGCAGCCCTCCTTAGGCTGCTGGTAAACCGTGTAAAAACCATCTTTTTCACATTTTATCTATTTTTTTTAAATAGATATTAAAAAAACAAAATCTTTAAAAAATAAGTTATATTTATCTGTATTATATTATAAATTATTTGATAGAAATTCTTAAAAAAAATTATACATAAAATATATGCGTATTACTTAAAATTTAATATTACAAATAAATTGTGCATAAGTACAACTTATTAAAACTTTATTTTGAATTTAAAAATAAACTTGAAGTAAAATATTGATTTAAAATTCTATTTTTTTTATTTTAAATAAGTTGTTACAGATGCTTTAAATATATTATTTGGTTTATTTATTTTCTAAATTATTTTTAAACTACATGATAATTAAATAAAGTAAGAATATTTCTAATAATATTTTTTGAATAGAAAAATAAGGAAAAAATTACATAAATAACCATTTGATTGAAGTAATTTCCTTTTTTAGTCATTTTAGAAATTATTTTCTTTAAATAGTTAAAGTTTATATTTAAACTTTATGAAAAAGACGGTTTTTGAGGTATTTTTCAGGTGAAAAAGAAAATAAAAAAAAATACTTTTTTACCCAAAAAAATCTTTAAAAAGAAGAATCTTTACACAAAGATTTCAATTTAGCAAACAAAAAAAATTATTTTACATATTTATAATTAGTTATTTAATTTATTTTATATTTTTCACTTTTTTTTTCTTCTTACACATTTATTATATTAACTTATATTATTGTATAGGGTTGAGTTCACGTGAGACCAATGGTTTTTCGTGAGACCCGTAAGACCAATTTACGTTCATTGATCAACTTTATAAGCTAATGATTTAATGGTCTAAAATTGCACGGTGATAATTTTGTGATTATTGAAAAGTCTAGTGGCGTTTGTGAATGTTCAGATATGACGATTGTAGATTTAATCCAAGGGTTGAGAAATGGTCTTACGGATCTCACGAAAAACCTTTGGTCTCACATGATCCCAAGTCTTATTGTATATTAACTAAAATATATAAAAAAATACGTTTATTTTCTTTCAAATTATATCATTGTAATCGTCTCGTCAATACATTCAAAATGAGTCAAATATTGAATTTTTTTATGTAATATTATATTATTAAAAATCATAAATACTCGTATGAATTATCTTTAAAACTTACAATTTCTACCTTTATTATTCTTTATAATACGTAAGTATAAGAAATAATTCTTAAAGTTTATAATATTTAATAATAGAAAATTAAATCAAAAAAGTATTCAATATTGGACACATTTTGCATGTATTGACGAAATGATTATAACGATGTAATTTGTAAAAAAAACATATTTTTTCATGTATTTTAGTTAATTTATGATTATGTCTATTTATATAATAATGGTGTAAAGTGAAAAATGAAAAAATAAGAGATATAAATTAAATTAAATAACTAATTATAATGGTGTAAAATATAATTTTTTTTTCTACTAAATTGAAATCTTTACACAAAAATCATTTGCATAAAGATTTTTCTTTTTGCATAAAAATGTATTTTTAAATTTCCTTTTTTTTTTTCCTGAAAATACACTTTACACAAAAACCACCTTTCTACATAAAGTTTGAGTGTAAACTTTGGCTATTCGAGAAAAATGGTTCATAAAGTGATTAAAAAGTGAAATCACTTTAGTCAAATGACAATTTAAGTAAATTTTAAGAAAAAATAAGGTATTTATTCTCTATTTTATTCTAACAGATTTCTTATATAGTTTAAAAAAAACTGATTAAGTTTAGAGAATTCTCTAAAACATGATTGGTGGAGAAAGAAATTATTTTTTTATTCATTCAAATCAATAATGTTGAATTATTTTTATTTTATATATGTTCATTTTAAAAAGTGTATTGGAACCATAAATTTATATAATATTTTAATGATATGTAATATTAAAATCTCTAAAATCTATTGAATTAAATGTAATTTTTGATAACGTATCTACAAGAGATCTTCCAAAATTAAGATTTTAGAGAATTTTGCTTCAACAAATTTCTCAAAATCTTATCCAAAATGAAGAAAAGTATGAGAGAGAAAATAAAATTTTGATAACTCTCAAAAAATGATTATTCATGAAAGAGAAATGAATTTTTACTTTTTCTTACCAATGAGAACCGTTAAAATTAAATATATATGAGAGTGAAATAATGTTTCATAAAATGTATTAAATATTTTTAAAATTAGGGATGGCAAAAAAAAACCGAAACCCGAAACTTTCGGGCTGGGTTCGGGGACATTTTATCGGGGACGGGACGGGGATCGGGGACGAATTCGGGGATTTTAACGGGGACGGGGGCGGGGACGGTGATCACCGGCCCGGCCCGATCCGATATGTATATATATAAAATATCTTTAAAAAAAGTAACATTAAAATTTTAAAAAAAATTATCCACTTTAACTCAACAACCCAAATAAAGCTCACGAAAAGTCYAGWTTATTTGTCAAAAACCRTRATTTTAGTTGTATGATGTTCGAATTTTTGTTTAGTTTTATATTGTAATCTAATACATTGTTTGTAATTGGTTCAATTATGTTTGAGACATTTAAACTTAGATCTTTAAAAAAATTTAATTTACTTTTAATTGTGAAAATTAACATATTGTAATTTTTTTATATCGGTTTCGGGTTTCGGGTTCGGTTATAACCAATGATGAAAAATAGAATTTTTACCCTTAACGGGTTCCCCAACGGGGATCGGGGAAACCGCGGGGACCCGATGGGGATCCCCGATAAGATCCCCGACGGGGATCGGGACGGTTACGGGGACGGGGATACCAATACCCGGCCCGTTTCCATTCCTATTTAAAATATATTTTATATTGTAATATCCAAAATGGAGAAGCAGTTAAATTTGAACATAATTTTTTTGAAGGTTGACTTTTGATTCTTCCTGTTGGAGAATCTATTGGAGATGTTCTTAGAAACTTTGACTTTTAATCTTCAATTTTAAAGAAAGTTATAAAGAATTTGTTGGAGATGCTCTAAGAGGTAGGATAAATGTATCTCTATCTATTAGTTTTCTTTTTAAACACATCAACAACAAGACTTGATTTTTACGTTTTCAATTATGCTTTAATCTGATTCTAACATAAATAGGGGTGTGTAATGAGTTGTTTGGTCACCGAATAAGTTGAATAAGCATTCTATTATAAAATTCTTGCCGGACATTCTAACAAGTTTAGAGCAACCAAGAAAATCAAATGAACCAACTAGAGTACTACTCTACTACATAGGCGGACCTAGTGTGGTGGCATGGGTGGCACGTGCCACTGTATTATTTCGCGACCGAATGGTAAAAAATTTAGGTTTGTTAACTGTGCTATCGTATTGTTTTAGAAGGTGCTACCGTATTTCTCTGAAATCCAAATAGTGCAACTAAAACCCAAACAAAACAAAGCCCAAATAATCAAAACCATACATTTTGTAATTATTTTATTGACCGTTTTCAAAAGATGAAGACGCGTCGGGTACAAGTTTAGGAGTTGTTTATCGGTACTATAAAAACCACATTTTTTGTAATTATTTTTAGATGTATATTATACTATATTAATTATATGGTGTCACCGTTTAAAAAAATTTATGAATTCGTCTCTGCTCTACTAATGGATTAACAATACGGAGTGGTCACTTTTACGTACATCACTAAATGCAAGCCATGTTTAATGCCAATAACTTAACTTATCCTTTGAATAAATAAAAAACATATGTTTGATTTATCTTAAGGTAGCTTATTGGAATGTTATAATAGTGTTTCAATAAGCTAAAAATAATTAATGAATAAGTCAAAACTCCATGTATAGTTACCAAATCGTCTTTCGTCTAATAGCATCCAGATATTAGACCTTCTAAGAGGTCAGGGGGTCAATCGTCACCAAATGTGACAAGTTAATATGAGTTTATTTGTTATTTTTAATGTATATAAATACTATATAAAAGAAATTCCTTGTATAGTTGTCGGCATGATGATGTAATTAACATTATTCTATTTCCAATTATCAAGTTATGGTTGTAGTCACGATTAAGAAATAAAACCAGCAGATGTTACTGTCTATTTATGTAAGGCATCTTCTATAATTTAATTGTAAGTCAACTCTGGGAATTCTATTTGGGATATTTAAGTTTTTATGCTCAATTTGGTTACTATATATTAAAAACATGGCTCAACATTAATCTATCGAAAATATCTGATTTTTTTATTACAAAATACCTCTCTATTCATTTCAGTAGCTTGCACACTGTCAATCTCTTTCTATCTTTACTCTTTTCTAATATCTCTCCTCTCTCACGGGCTTTTCTCATGTCCTGGCCCACAGTAGTCATCCAAGCGAAATAGCTCATATACATATATATTTATACACCTAATAAATAAGTAACTTGAGTGACACGTATCATCTTCTGGTGAGTCGGTTATCTTATTTTTCCGCCTAAACATGTATCTAGACACAATTTACATTACTGGTTCAAAGAGACCTATTTGATTGACATATGTCCCTCTAAAAATGTATCTTTTTTTTTATCGTAGTTTAACTGATTTCCCTACTAAACGGGATTTAGTTCAGACTAATTTTTTCCAGCTAATCTGATAGCTTATTGCTGACAGCCTTCAACTTGTCTTTTTAGCTTATCGCTGACAACCTTCAGCTAATCTGACAGGTTATCACTGACATTTTATCACTGATAGTCTTCAGCTTATCGCTGACAGCCTTCAGCTAATCTGACAGGTTATTGCTGACAGCCTTCAGCTTATCGTGACAGCTTTCAGCTATCACTGAAGAGGCAGCTTTCAGCTATCACTTGCTAATGTTGTCATGGAGTTCTGTAAGAC